TATTTAGTATTGTTATATTTAAATTTATTATATTATATTCGTTATTTAGTCTTATTAAATAAAAATTTGTTATATTATATTAAAATTTGTATATTATATTAAGATTTGTTAACATTTGACAATTTGAAGTTAAATAATGACTTTTGTTATTTTATATTTAATATATATCAATTGCAATAGCAAGAAAGCATTCAATTTCAACTTTACTTAGCAAAAGTTCAAAAAAAAAATCTAAAAAAAACAAAAGTTATTTGCAACTGTAATAAATATAATAAATTACTTGTTGATCTATGAACAGAGTTTTTGCATAAATATCAAAAAAAAAAAACTAAAAATTTGATAGATCAAGAATTTACTATTTGGTAAAAAACTAAGAATATTTTACTAAATCAAATTATAGCTTTAAGCAATAATCAACAAAATTCAATATTTAATAATACTAATGCTAAAAATAATGAATTTGAATTTGAAGTTGAAAATGACAAATCTAAATTCAAAATTGATAATAAATTTAATAGCAGTTCTAATGACATGTTTGAAAATTATTCAGCTTCTAATTATAAAGTTCCATCACATTTTAATAAATTTGTTGATAGCTGTTTTATATGAATTTTATTATAAATTATAAACTTTAGAATAAGATTTAATTTACTAAATACTGCAACAGAAGCACTTATAAAATTTATGAAGTTGTATTAATTAAAATTGATGACAGCAAATACAAACTTTTTTGTGGATTATTATATATGATCAAAGTATTACTTGACTTATTGAATCAATTTGTTATTTTGTAGCATATCAAAAATATTACAAATTATATAAACAATATAATATACTAAGTTTTCAAAAAAACAATCAGCTATTAATAATAAAATATGTTCATATTAAATTTTTGAATTCAATAACTTAAAGAAGAATTTGCAATACTCTATTATCTACACAGTTCAAATTATTAAATGAAAGCATTAACCAGTCAAAATTAATTTTCCTTATACAACTATTTGGCAATAATTATTTCAGATGTATCAAAATACAAATTTTGAATACAATCTTTGACATTGGCGAATCGATTAAACACTAATGAATTGTTATATAATATTTATAATAGTAATATTTGGAAAACTTTTAAGAATAGAAATTTTAAATTATTTTTTAGTAAAGAAACTGTTGATTTGTATTTAAGATTGATATTGAATATTAACTAGTTTCAATCATATAATAACAAAATATATAGTACTGGTGTTATATATACAACCATTGTCAATTTGCCATGCATCTGTGAAAAAGATTTTTCAAACTTTACTGTTGATTAATGAAGAAATTTTTTCATAATATATGTGACTATTATTTTATGAAAATATCTTCCAAAAATTGATTATTGAATATTAATTAATTTTGTCAAAATATATTAGATATTAGTATGTCAAATCATAAGATGAAAATTATTAAATGAAGCTTATAAAGACTAATATCAATAATTAAGTTAATTGAGTAAAAATATAATAAAGAAAAAATTATGTCAAACTTTCATTTTTTTTTATATTTATATAAATACATATATAAATATGAGCCATTGTATACTTTTTGGTATTTTTTATTTGAATAAATAAATAGTTTATTAGATAAGTTTTTTTATAATTAATATTTGTAAAATAATATTCTAACAAATTTTAAATTTAGGATAATTGTCTAATGGCTATCGAAATATTGAGCCCAAACTCATATAAATATTGGTGAATAACTGCCAAATTATTAATCTAACCACATCTTATTATAATAATATAGGATTCAAAATCTTAAATAATCGATCAAATATTAGATCAATTTCAGAATTGAATCAATTTTCAGCAGATAACTATGCTAATGCTTAAATAACACATATAATATTCAAGAGATAGTTATTAATAGATCTAAATAATTTCTTGGCAAACTATTGTATCCTGAAAAATTAAATTTAATTGTATTTTCTGAAATCTTGAATTTATTGGTCAAATATTATAAAACTTCTTATGAAACCATGAACTTTCAAAGACCATTTATTGAAGATATTAATAATAATTCAATAATTGTTCAAAATAAAGCTGATCAATATAGAAGATGCTGAATTGAAAGTGAAATTTTTGATTTTATTATTTTACTGCGAAATATAAAAGATTTATTTGTTTTAGTCTGATTTGTGAATTATAATGAAAGTATCGATTTATATCCAAGACAGGTTCAATTTTTTTTTACTTATTTGGTCAACTTATTAAATAATGTAACAAAATATAATTTGACTTTTATTCAATGGTTTAAACTTGTTAATTTGACAAATATTAGGTTCTATTTTGAATCCAAAAATGATATGAATATTGAATTATAGAATACCAAATTTTATTTGCATAAACACAAATATATAATTCCTATTTATAATATTTTTAGTTAATTTATTCCATTTAAATATAAGATTTTAAATAGACAAGATTCTTGTAAATATTTAGCTATTATTCCTTTAAATCACAAATACAATATATAAAATTTTATTGAAACATATATAATTCAGCAATATAATATAATTTAGTAAAAATATATATGACAAGATAATATAATTCAACAAAGTAATATAATATAACAATATATATTTGGCAAGATAATATAATTCATTAAAGTAATATAATTTGACAAAGTCAAAATATATACAGTATATATATTTGGTACAAAAAATAAAAGATAAAGAATATCTAATTATAAAAAATCATTTATATATTTAAAAAAAGAGAAGTATCAAACTGGAAAAAATATACAAATGAATAAAATTTGAGGGGCAATATTAAAGGAAAAAATTAAAGAAAAATCATGAAAAGTATAAGAAGTGCAAGAAGCACAAAAATCACAAAAAAGCATTCCAAAGTAAAGAAAATTTAGCATTATAAAATCTTTGAGAGTTACAAGAGCTATGATGAAATTAGCAAAAGAAAAAGACAAAAATTATAAGTATAAAATTCAGATAAAAAAATGGATGGGAAATTTAATAAATAATATACAAATACTTAGCAAATAATTAATTAGTAAATAATTAGCAAATAATTAATGAATAACTAGTAAATAATTATTTCAAATTTTTATTTTTTACATTTTTAATAAATTTATCCAGTATTAATTAAATTTTATTGAATATTATTATAAATGTAATTTTTTTATTGAAAATATATAATTTGATTTTACTGAAGTATATAATGCTAAATAATTTTGTCAACTTTATAGTTAAATAATAAAAATTTATTCTGAATGTTTTAATTTTTATTATAAAATATTGTAACTTTATTTTCAAATATTTTTTAACTAGAAATATTTTTTTGTCAAATGATTTTTGTGTTAAATGATTTTTTTGTCAAGTAATTTTATTGTTAAATAATTTTATTGCCAAATGATTTTATTACTGAATATTATATATTTTTTGCTAAATTATTGTATTTTTTTTAAGTGCTGAATAATATAAAGTGCATCAAATAACAAAACTTTGATATAAACTTTTATTAATAAATTTGAATTTAATTAACTATACTTCGGCAATCAAATAACTCAATTTGAACTAATGTTAATAATTAATTGAAAATTGTATTTAATTTAAAATCATATTATTAATCAAATTTTCTTTTATGATAATAAGCAAATATATATAATTTGTATTAATAAACAATCAAAACTGAAGTATTCACTAGAGAGTGTATACTTGTATTAAAGGTTTTTTTATACTTGTGAACTGATTAAACATAAGATGTAAAGTGATAGATAATAGATGAAGGTAATTAACAGTATATGTTTAAGTCTCATATATATATATAAGCCCTATAGGTTAGATACATGTAGTTTAAAATTAGTAATAAGATTTCTATCTTTTATAGTTCCTTGATATTATAAGAAAAAGTCATCAAATAATGGATTTCTGGATATTAGATATATAAAGTTAATAGACTAATATTCAATTATAGTTATATATTATAAAGAATGTCTGATGTAATGGATAATATTGTATATCAATAAAGAATTTGTATCTTATACTATTTAACTTTAAAAAAAATAAAAATAAAATAAAATAAAATAAATCATTGATCTTGTAATTTAAAATTATTAAAAAAGTAAATTAGATAAAATCAATTTAATGATTTTGTTTTAAATATCTAAAATTATGTTTATATAAAAAAAATAGTTAAATATTTTTTATATTTAAATATAATCTTATAACAAAAATTATAACTTGTTTATAAAGAATAAAAAAATAAGTTGAAATTATTTACTATATATATTTTAAATATACAGTATTATTTAAGTATGCTATATTATTTGATAGTTTAAATTAGTAGATAAATTATTGAAAAATCTTAATCAGTAAGAATTTATTATTTTAAATATCTATATCCTATATATTTAGACTTTTAGTTATAACAAGTAAAATATTTTTAAAAAAGTTACAATGTATTGTTTTGCCTTATAATTTTGCTTAATAAAAAATTAAAAATCAACTATTTTGCTTAAACTAATGCTATATAATACTATCGAATTTTTTATATAAAAATTTTTTGTATTTTATATGGCAATATCAGGGTTAATGCTAATTATATTTGGAAATAATAAACTGGTGATAAAAATATACCAGCGATGTGATAAATCCATGATTACCAGTACCAGCGATCTGCAAAAAACGATAGGTCATGTATTATTCAAAAATCAAAGTATAATTTAATTACCTACATTACCTATTTTTTAAATAGAAAAACTTAAATGCATTATTTGCTATACATGTATAATGTACAACGAATCAATATATGTATGACCTGCTGGTTGAATGTTCATGTTAAAAAAAGTTGTTATTAGAGTTTATACCAATACTTTATAATGCTATTTCATAATGTCGCGTATGTCTACGTACGAGGCTATTTTAGATCACACGTGTAACGACACAAAAAACAATACGATATATACGTAAATCAAAATTTACTCATACGCATCAATTCTCAGCCATGTCAACCTTTTCTTCCCCGGGTTTTGCAGCAAATAATGCTTCCATCACCACTTGGCAAGGAGACCTGCTGGTGAAGTTGCTGTTAAGAGATAGAAGAGAAAAGGCATTTACCGACTTCGTCGAATCTTGTAAGTCTTCCTATTTACGAGATCAGCAATAGGAATGCTTTAGGTCGACACGTTGTAATCATCATTTTGAATGAGAGGAAAAACGATTTCCATCTATACGTGTTTCGAACTCGAGACATTAATTCTAGGCTTCTATTATCGCTTTTTGTAATGTTTATGTTAGACAATACGCTAGTCAAAAAACTTGAGAAATTTGCTGATAGGAATGCAGAATTAGAAGCCTCGGAAAGATCAGCTACAGACAAACTCACCAATCTATCAAGAGAAGTTGATATATTACGGGAACAAGGGTAAGCTATTACCCCTTGATCGCAAAGATCAAAATTCGAAATGACTTTCGACACCATTTGTTTGCTCAAACCAAAGTTTATTGCAAATATTTTTGGAATGTTATTCTACCTCAATAACATTAACACAGTTAATTACTAATTAAATAATCATTAGGAGTCCTATAAATCAGAAAAGGACTGTAGAGTTAGAACAGCAAATTCAAAACCTAAAGGAGGAACGGGCGGAATTATATAAAACTCAAGGAACTAATGCTCAAAGATTACTGGACTTAAACGACGTTCTGAGGAATCACGAAGAACAAGCCAAAAAACATCAAGAAGAGTAAGCGCACGTTCCGTCAAAGATCTAATAATCGAAGCTGGATTTATAATTATCATATATTTTACACTGCTCAATAGAATCCAAAGATTAACTGAAATAAACCAGACTCTGACCAACAAAGTTGATCTCCAAGTTCAGGTTCTCCGAGAAAAGGACGTTACAATACAGGTAATGTGAATTTTACAATGATGTCTACGGTAGCTTGAGAAACTTATATAATCTGTTATATGTATAGCTTTTGCAAGATGAATTGGCAACGTTGCAGCTAGAACTGGGCAAGATAGATGAGCGTATGAAAGATTTAGAAAAGGAAAATGGTCAACTATTGCAACGATGGCTGAAAAAAATGAACGAAGAGGCAGATAAGATGAATGAAGCTAACTTATTTTATGAAAGGTTTCCGTCGTTTTACATTCTACATGTTATATTATCATTACTGCTCTCTCACGTTGGCTTTTTCGTATTAGTGCGCTGGAAGTTCATGCCAAAGCGCTAGAATTTCAAAGTGGTGTTGTTATTGTAGACAAGGAGTTTACTCCAGCATCGAAACCTGTTTCGTTGCCAGAGGCTAGCTCGAGCTCCGGACATACCAGGTGTGAACACCACGGTATAGTGCATTTATTTAATGGGATAACAATTTGTTAACGTAAATTTCATATAGGTCGAGAAGCAGGTCTCTTGGTCCAGTGGTAATACCTTTGGCTGTATTCAAAAAACTCGTGTGTACTATTTTCATTACTTAAAGTTATATTCGTTGTTTCAAAGGAAAAAAAAAAAGGAGCAATGATTGTAATATTAACCAAAGTTGCTTATTTGGACCAGAGTCCTCATGATGGTGAAATACACTCAATTCAGGCTTCTCCCGATGGCAATTCGTTTGCTACCGGTAGTGCTGATAAAACCATTAAAATATTTGACGCATCATCAGGTTAGGTTGGGATCCAATTAGTATGAATATACTAGCGTTCATCTGAGTTTAATCATTATCATTTATTTTTCAGGGCAGATAAAGCAAACCTTGTCTGGTTCTATACAATCGATTATGCACGTGTCATTCAATAATACTAGCGAAATGGTTGCTGGTGCATCGAATGATAATGCGGCAAGATTATGGCATTTGAAAACGGGTCGAATAAGAGTATGCCATTTTTATTTCCAGACTTTATTTCAACAATTTTACGAATTAATGTCGTTTCAAAAAATATTTTTTTAACATAGCTTACTTTAACTGGTCATGTTGGAAAAGTGTACTCTGCAAGATTTAATGGTGATTCCAGCAAAGTGGTATGAATTTTGTTTGATTGATATAAAACAAAGTTTGTATTCTCACTGTTGAGCTTTCTGATAGATTACTGGCAGTCACGATCGCACTATCAAAGTGTGGGATTTGCAAAAAGGATATTGTATGTAAAATTTAGGGGCCTCACCTTTTTGTTATAATTTTTGCCAGTCTGATAGTAAATTAATTAATCCTAAAAAAAATCCTCAACGCGTCATAATTGTAGGCATCAGGACCATATTTTCATTTTCTAGCTGCAATGATGTTGTTCCACTAGATGAAGACGGGTATTTGATGGTTTACTTCCCTTTTTGTATTCATCTGTTTTTACTTGATTTAACTTTGATAACAAATGCGTTTTTAGGACGACACTTGTTAGCGGTCATCTAGATAACAATTTACGATTCTGGGATGTACGATCGGGTAAAGATATCAAAGAATTGACTGGCATTCACCTTGGACAAATTACATCTGTTTCCGTGTCTCCTGGTAATTTTTCAAATCAATTAATTTCTAGCTTAAGTGGAATAGATTTTTAAATAAATTTTTACATTCATCAGACGGGTCCAAAGTGTTGACTAATTCAAGAGATAATACATTAAAATTGGTCGACCTTAGAACCTACGATGTTGAACAAACATTGCAGTGAGTTCGATTCCTTCAAAATACTTTAAACTTGTTTATTTTCGTTCTCAACTAGTAATTGACCGCGTCACTTAATGTAGTGCTGATGGATACAAGAATGGTGCTAATTGGTCCAGATCGTGTTTTAGGTGAGTAATGGAATAATAATATATATTTCGTAACAAGCATAACAAAATCCACAATTTTTTTTTTCTTTTGTGTTCAATAGTCCCGATGGGAGATATGTTGCGGCGGGTTCATTAGGTAAATAAATAATCCCACTATACTAAAATATTTGGTATTAGACCTTTCAAATTATTTAAATTGTATAATCAACTGATTTCATATATTTGCAGATGGGTCTATATTTTACTGGAATATTCAAAAATCCAAACTAGAGAAAGTCGTGAAAGAACAAAAGTGGGTTCAATTTTCTTTTCCTTTATTCCGTTGACACATGATAATTTTTTAGCCGTATAATAAGACTACATTCTTTTTCTCAAGTTCGCCTATTTGTGGTGTCACATGGAATCCTAATGGGCGTCAGGCATTTAGTGCTGATAAAGATCGTACAGTGGTCGTTTGGTCTGGGTTAAGGTGATCACAATAACAAACAAAGGTTATTCGCTTGTGTATTTTAGCCATTTCGTGATGATGTAGCTTAATGAGCTTGATTTTTATTCAACTAAGTTATCACATTTATTTTATTATTTTCAAGATTGGTTGCATAATCACCATTCATTGAAAGTTGTATATATAATCGACCCTGATTTTTTTGCTATAGATTTCCTCGTTCCATTTGTGGTATTATTAACTCCACTAAATATTTTACTGAACTTTTAGGAAGTCAACTGTTTGTTTAGTCTATGTATTTTTTCATCAAAACTCTAAATTTGTCCTTGAATTCACATAATTCTAAATACGATCCTTTCAAATGCCTCTCTCCATCAAAAGCAGTTCGAGAATGTAGAACTCTTCTGTTAACAAAGATAACCAATTCCCCAGGCTTTAGTTTCAGCTCGTACTTCAATTCAGGATCTTCAATGAAAACGCAAAATCTTTGATACGCTTGATAAAATCTAAATGTCCTTTCATCATCTTTGTCGAAGTCTTCGTTATCTGTTAATGACATTGTTTGCTGTGCAGAGGGTAACAGAGACTCAATTGGACCCTGAAACATGGGAGCGTGGTTAACCGTTATTGTATCATTATGTTCATCCACGACAATAACGGGACGATTGTAATGCATATGGTGACCATCATTAAGATAGTTAAAGGTTAAAGCAGTTTTGGTTAAAATGTCAAAATCTTCGGGATATGCTGATTTAAAATTCTCGACTGCCATTAGCGAATCCGAAAATATACTTTCACCACCGTTCTCCGAATTTATTAAGCAGTGAAGAAATTGTAAGCCGGGTGGTGCCTCATAATACCTGTTGAATAGTTAGTGGTGGAAGGTTGTTCGTTATGAACATAAGAGAAATTAATAAAGTTACGCTTACAATAAATCCATGTGTAATCCCAAAGATAAATTTGTATATGCAATATTTTTTGCACCACGAGCTGATATTACATCAAAGACCCGACCGTAAAAGGTGGATCTTATTGTACCGATCCTTTTCACAACATTTTCTATGCTTTCATTACTGTTGTCACCGTTCAATTCAACAGGAACTCCTTTTAAAACCACCAAACCGTAATCCCATAATTGCCTGAGAGCTTTCAACAATCCTTTATCGGAATTCATATAATCATAGTGATCAACCCAGAGATTTGATTTCAGTATAGAATTACGATTCCAGGTGATCGGTTTCATATGATTAAATCGAATTTGGTTTGTGGAGAATTTTGAATCGTAAAATTTCAAAAATGAAATTGGATATATGCCTTTGTGGATTTTTTCGTTGGAATCAGGTTGTGAAGAAATATTTGATTGTAACGTTGGCAATTTGGATAACGATTTATTCCACACAACTTCCATCGTTTCTTCATCCTTTTCATTCGACGTGACATTAACATGTATCGGTTTTATATCGAGCGGGACTTCTGAACTCGAAAAAAGCTTTTGCTTGTTATCCGGATGAATGCATTCTGTACATTGACAATTGTCCCGCAGCCAGATATAATTAAATTTTGAGTTATTTTTAGTTGAATTTTCCCAATTGATTACAAGTGAATGTGGTTTTATTACAATTTGTTTGATAGAGGGACTTTTATGATAATCGTAAAACTGAAATTGCCCTAGTGAAGAGGAAGCGCGACTGGTACGACGAAGTGCTGTGAAAAAAGAAAATGGAATACGTGATGAAAGCAACATGCTTTATAAGGATTTTTGTGATTTCTGCATTCAATCGATTTTTATGAAGAAACGGGTGACACCAACGATCTTGATAAAATGATCTGATAAATAACATTGATGTACCATCAAATTCGAGCAATTCTTTTACGTTTACTGGTTGGCTTGCTTTTTTCTTTCATTTTCTCTTGTCCCTGTTCCAACTCATCATTATCGTTTTCAGAGGACTCACTGTAACTTCCTAGATAGGAAGATTCATCGGTGAAAAAATTTTCCTCGGATTCAGCATTATTCGAGCCGTCACTAACTTCGATACCATCATCGCTTGTCTGTGTACCACCAGATTCATTCTCATTTTCATACGACTTGTAGTAAACATCATCATCATCGCGAATTGTATCTTGCGAAAACAATTCCCGTAACAGTTGTGATGGCGTCTCTGAAGATTCGTGATGAGATGAAGGCAACGGCACAATTTCTTTTTCTTTTTTAAATCTTGGTATCACTTGTTCCGACTTTATATGATGCATTTTTTCAACGCGCATTGGGCTTCGAAACTCATGTGTTGCAGATTCCTTGTCCTGAGTATGGGTGATTGTCACTGTAAATGGATATTTGTCCTAAAATGGATTTCCAATGCAAACTTTAGAGGACTTTCTTGCAAAACAAGTGCTATTTTTTTTTAAAAAAAATCTTTAAACCTACATGAATTAATGTTAAATTTTCACCGTCATGAATTTCTACTTTATTATTCTTACTAACTTTCTCAGTTCCTCTTATCATCGAATTAGATCCAAGCTTTAATTTATAAATTATTTAATTTAATATTGTCAAAAGAACGGATTAAAGATAAAATTTTTATCATATATTTACGACTGTGGCGTAAACTCGTCCATCTTTAACCTCAAATAGAACTTGCGAAAGGGAATTCGGATTGAACGACGTTAAATATTGTATACGCGTATACGCGTCAAATAAATAAAGTTGCTGTGCAAGGATCTAGCAAGCTTCTTTCTAACTGCTTAAATTACCTTGCTTCTTGCTTATGGACGGGTCTGGAACAAAGCTCGAGCGACCAAGTTCCAGACTATCCGGTTCGGTGAAGGTAAAGGTTTTATTAACCGGCTCCTTAAAATGTATAACCACGTGGATTGTCATTACGAAGTAAAAAGCGAATTCGAGACACTTTTTCGACTACAATGCATTATTATATTTCATGGTGATACAGTGACGTCTTTTGGAATTCAAGTTTTTGACACGAACCTTAATCTCATATTTATACAGTTACCTTATAAAGCTCATTAACAAATATATTGTATACTGTATATTGATAAATTACTTACAGTATTAAAAATCCGACACTTTCTTGCTTCTTTATCATGTCGTCATATTTTTTTAGCCACAGCCTTCACGTGTTGTTTACTTTTTTCAGAATATAAGCTTTATTTTAATTTTTTTCACTATTAGGTCTCTTCCTAATCTTTTGCAGGATTGAAATCATTCCTGTCACAAGAAAAGTATTTTTCTTAACCTTTTACTAAACCAAAATCCTTCCTATCGCGACAAAAGTTTTCTTCCCAAACCTTCTTACTGAATCGAAATATGAGCAACCGACAGAAAGGTCTCTTTCTTAATATTTTACCGAACCAAAATCTCTAGCTATGGAAAAACAGCCAAGTGTTTTCTTATCACGTTATGTTCTGGTCGGAGTCTGCGATGTAGGTAACAAGGTAGGGATCGGTTATGAACCTTCCTTGCGAAGCTGCAACACGGGCAAGTGATGAAGCCTGTTTCCTATCGTTCGTTGATCCTTAGAGATGGTCGTGGTTTAGTCGAGGAATAGGAGCAATGGAACTAGCCTCGATTAAACTATTCACCTCTTTTTGAGTGACACGGGCTTAGTGCATATCGGGTCTTCATTGCGAACACCCTTTCCTCTAGGTTTTTTTTATTTTATAACGTTGTAGGCGTAATCAACGAGTCTGTGGCAAATTCGGGCAGTCCTTCGCGTTGCATACGATCAAAGGTAAATAACCTAAAGCTTTTTTACTATTAAGACGTTCCTGATATGGCCGGTTTTACACTTTTAACTTTTCTATCGACTATTATTCCCTTAGGTAAGTTCGATCCTTTCACCTAATCGCGTAGTACAAGTTACAAATATTTGGCGCACACGTAAAAACAAGTTGAGTTTATTTTAGCTTGGTGCTTATTTATTATTAGAATGCGAGTGCTAACTCTTTTACATGATATCAATTGTGCACAAATTTATACATTCTCTCATCCAAAATTTCCTCGCTGCTCGCGAAAACATGATGACGTAACGTGATACCGCGTTGCGCACCTGCGCCACACCAATAAAAAAAGTTCCACAAAACTTTCTACGGTGTTATTTTCTTTTTAAACTTAATGCAAATTTTTTGACTTATAAGAATAATATCGCCATATAAATCGACGTGGATGTCCCAAACAATTCCAAGTTCGAATCAGGTGTATTTACGCATAGAAATGAGATCTGGAAGTATAGTCCTGATCTTGGCATTAATATTTAATAATTTAAAAAATTAAATTTTAGTTTAAAACAATGCTACGGACCAGTTTAATAAGCAATTGTTTGTTTTTTTAAACAAAGCTTCAAAATACATCTTGTTAAAATATTTATTAACTTAATAAATTATTATTATCAAGATCAAGATTTTTAATGATTACCGATTTAAAACTAACCATATTTGTAGATAGTTTAAATGCAAAGTCATACACATTCCAGGTAGTTACTGTCTTACAACAAAGTAAATCTCTCTCACGTTAAATATCTTCGACCTTTATTTTTGTTTGCAATCAAAATTACATTGAAATTACGCCAATTAATTAAAACCTTAGCCCGATCATTCTACAGTTCCCGATGTAATAACCTGAAATAAATTAAAAAGGTGAATAAAAATATAAATTTCTTTGTCAAGTACGTATATTTTTATGAATACTCACGTCGTCTATCTTGAGAATCATCTTAACGAGTTGTGTAGCCAATAAAAATTGTTGTCTTTTGGATATGAGTGGATCATAAACGAAATTTTCTTTCATATCTTATATTAATAATATGAATTTAGTGAACAACTCTTATATTAAAGCTCAAAAGAAACCTATTTTAGTACCATTAGATCCCGTATTCATGCAATCGATGCCAAGTTTACTGTTATTTTCGGTAACTTGCCGTGATTTAATATCAGCCAATGTTTCTATAGGAGAAAGTCCAGCGTTTTCAGCAAGTGCCAGTGGTGTTGCATCTAGAGCATTAGCAAACGCGCGAACCGCATGTTGTTCAATGGATGATATCTATTCATTGATCAAGCAAAATACATAAGTCTTGACACGCTCTTTGAACCGAATTCGTATAAATTAATATTAAGATAACTACCTGATCCGCAGCTTTAGATACTGCAAGTGAACAACTAATTTCAGCGGCGCCGCCCCCATATACGACTCGGTTATCACGGACAAGGTTACGTACTACACAAAGCGCATCGTGAATAGAACGCTTTGCCTCATCAATTATCTAGCAAATACTCAGGTAATGAGTAAAAATTAAAGGTGCAAAAGTTATGAATGCTTGAATAACTTACCATTTTATTACTGCCTCGAACAAATATTGTGACGGCCCGGGTGTTTGCACATTCTTCGATAACTAACATGCGATCCTTTGTGGTGCCAAAAGAAATTTCGCGCACAAGTCCCGCGGCTCCAAGTTTTTCTGGACGAAGATCCTCGAAACGTGGCACAATGCGACCATTTGTAGCAATAGCAATCAACTGTTTGACACGTCATATAATATTAGCACTCACGCAAACATTATACTCGCTAGTGTAACTTGACATTTGATGATACCTCAATCTCTTGACCACCAACCCATCGAACAGCTGGCAAATTATTCTGCAATAATAAATGGTTGGCTTCGTCGTCGAATCCCCATTGACAAATGACCAAATTAGCGCCTGCATCTTTAACGCGTTTAATCATTTCTTCAAATTTTTCTCTTTCGTAATTCTGTAATTTTTTATACTCTTCTACTGAAGTAATGTCCAACTTATGCTTGGTCTTTGGTTTAGGAGGTTCAAATGGGCATGTCAATATAGCAATTTTAGCATCACGAATCTCACGCGGCATTTGTGGATGCGACATATCTTTGTCCACCACAACCCCCTGTACAAGAGCAGTATCTTTAAGAGAACCACCAACTTTCCCATCAACTTTGATAAGTTCATCAATGTTAACATCCTTGCGCTCCATGTCTGCTACTGACATAACAGCATCTACACATATTTTTGCAAATTGGTCGCGATGTTTCGAGACGCTTTGAAATTGAAGTTAAGATAAATTTGAAAAGATGAGCACAGGCGTTTTTATCTTGCAAATACATTTTAAACTAAATCTTTACTCACATTTTACTTCCCAAACATGTAGAGACGGTTTTAAACAAATTTTCGATGTTATCTTTTGTAAATTCTACTACATCAGAAATCTCATTCAGATGATCTACAGCAATTTTACAGGCTCTTTCAAATCCATCTGAAATTCTAATTGGATGAATTCCGCGATCTAGAAGATATTCACATTGCTCAAGGAGAGCACCAGCAAGGACTACAGACGACGTAGAAGTATGAACTCGTGAAAATTGAGTAACTACAGTAATTGAAAAGTTAAAGATCGCATACCAACTACGCCAGTCGTGCCATCCCCAATTTCATCATCTTGTGATTTAGATAATTGAACTAATAATTTCGCGATCTGATGCTCTACTTCCATTTGAGTCAAAATAGTGGCTCCATCATTAGTAACCGTAATGTCTCCGTCAGGTGATATCAAAATTTTGTCAAGTCCTAAGAATAAGAAAACACGTAATCATATTTTGTCTGGAAATGTAACAAGTTAAGCTAATCGTAAGAATAATATTATAAAGGAATGCATACCTTTAGGTCCCAGTGAAGTCTTGATAATGTTAGAAACTGTTTTTGCTGCTAAGATGTGCGACTGTTTAATCGAAAGAATACTTAGACCGCCGCAACACAAATCAATACAAATATAATAAATGAAGTTAATCACTTTAATCAAACCTTTATCGCCTCGATCCCATTAAGACGGCTTTTCTTCTGCTGCTCTCGGACAATAATGAAGGGACGGCCGTACTCATCTGTCGCGTAAACAGCGTTCATATTAGGGTTAGCCATCTTTGTAGATGCGCGTGATTTCAGAGTCGAAGTTCTCTTACGGTTTTTTTGATCTTTATTATACTCGGTTATTTGATTGGCCAAACCAGACTGTCACATGATTTGCACATAAACATTAGTGAATTTAATTAGTTAAAGTATTCTAGTATTCTATAGTTCTTTAGCTTGAAAAATTTTAAAAAACTTATATTTTCATTAAAGACTTTTGAAGCGGAGAATTAATATATAAACTTCAAAACCTTTAGTTTATTGGAGGTTTTTGAAAGGCTATTTATTATTTATAAATATATTTCATATTAAAAACATTTATATAATAAACAATATATAGTATTAAATAATTTAATATAATTTAAAAACTTTTGTATTAAATTTTTATTATTATTTTATAATATATAATAAAAATCAAAAATTTATTGAAAAATTATTTTTTAAAAATATTATAGTATCTAAGCCTATTATTAAAAAAGTTTAAATAAATTTTTTTTTTATTAAAATATTTTAAAATATAATATAATATAGAATTTTAATCAATATTATAATTAAAAAAATAGTTTGATTAAATGTTTAAATAATAGTTTTTAAAAGAAATTAGAAATCATATAAAACTATTTGTTATTTTATACTAGTTAAAATAATATTATTTAATATTGTAATAATTTTATTTATTTTTTATTAAATTATTATTAGTCTATTTTTAATAATAGTATTTATTTATTTTATTATAGAATATATATCTATTTATAGCATATGATAACTAATCTATGAAAATAATGCATTCGCAAAAATAAATATTATTAAAAAATTGGTTTCAAAGAAATTGGGCCATTTTTATGGTAATCATATATTACCCCAAAATTTAAGCAACCAATAGTAATGCAATAAACTTTATTT